CTTATTTCAGTGCAGTTTCCAAAGAACATATCAAATATTTTCATAATCTCTTGTAATTGAAAAATTGCCCAAAGACACATATCCCCATTTTCAAGGAAACATTGCAAAAGTTTCCAGAAGTAACAAAGGTGATTCTTTGAGGCAACTTACTGTACTCTCTACAATATAACAAAGAGAGGTGTTTATATTAAAAAACCTAGCTTGACACCAAAATGCTTTATGTTTATCAACAGAAAAGCACTGAGAACGAATCTGTACACAAGATGCTCTATTAACATTGCAAATATATAAATTAGCACATTCTTACTTAAAGTGAATTGAATTTAGATGTGAACTGGATTTGCCATTAATTACAGTCATGTAGATCACTGGCTACAGTTTGCAATTTCCTAAGTTTCCAAGACTGTCTAAAATAGTTAAGATACAGCATCTTCCCACGAAATAATTATACTGTAGTAACACTTAGAGGTCTCATCCAAGAACAGGACTAAAAAATATAACAAAGTTTATTTTTTAAATAGAAACTGCAAGTCTTATTTAGTGTAATTTTAACTATCTCCTGAACATCCTTCTCCAAGATCCCCAATTTATTCACCTGCAAAATCACAAAGTATACAACGCACCTTTCAAATTAAAGCCGGGCCAGACAGCTTTATTTATTCAGTTTATTGTTAGAAAGCCTTTTTAAAGAAAATAAATACATTACAGTTATAATACATAATTAAAGAGTCAGGTTCACTGTTAAGTATGCTTATTCCATCTTCTTCCAAATAGATATCTGACAATTTGGTATCACAAGTTCTTAATGAGCATTCACAAATCAACAGCAAGTTAAGAAGGTAAAAATAAATTTCACAACTGTGATGGGTGAGCATTTAAATTCTCAGTTGAGAAAGAAAAAAAAAAAAAACGGAATATACAGCAAAGTGCTAGGAGAAGGAGTTCTGTCTGTATTCGGATTTGTCTCTAATAAATAACTTCGTAGACTGTAGCTTTCTTGTCTCCAGAGCCAGTGACAATGTATTTGTCATCCACAGAGATATCACAGCTAAGCACGGATGAGGATTCTTTGGACTACAAGAAAGATGAAAAGAAGAAAAAAAGAAAAAAAAAGAATAAAAAATACAGCTTTCCATCCTTCAACCCAGAAGGGCTTGAAGGTTAATTGGAAGAGTTTATAGAAAGGGAATACACCGAAAGCTTATTTAAATATCAGTACCGTAGCGGCAGCTTTTGCTACAAGACTGTTTCTCCAAACTTGTTGTGCCTAAAGCTCTATGGCAACAAAAAACAGCAGCAGAAAGGGAAGCAAATGTTATGAACCTAGAGACAATCTATCAATCAAAAAAAAAAAAAAAAAGGAAGCAGCCCTTTCTATACCCTTTACAAGTAATGAGCATTTATTAATATTATATATATTAGCTTTTGCATAAAAAAACAAAAAGCCATATTCTTGTTGTTCTTCCTTCCCTGTTTTATTGTAAACCAGAAATCATTATGGAGTAGCATAATAAAGCCCTGCTCACCCACAGGCATAAGACAAAAGGACTCCACAGAAGTAACTGTACCTCCTCTCACTGTTTCCCCAACTTACAAGTCTTTGTGACTTGCACAAAGGAATTTACACTATCAGGGATGATGCAAAGACGAAAAGATATTATGGTGGAATAGGATGCACAACAGTGTACAGCAAGTGAATGGGAGACAGAATATATCAAGATACTGTAGCTCTGCCTCTCAGGTCTTTTCTGTGTTTTCTGAGATGACGTATACGTTATTGTCACTTTATACCTGCTGTTTCAGTGCATGTTTTCTTCACATAACATATGTCCATGTTCCTCTCTATCTGTCACCACAAGAGATAAACACTTCCCAATCATGGTAATCTTTTGCTAAGAAACCTCTGCTGCACTGCACAGGAAGTTTCTTTCTCTACCCTCATTAAGAAAGCTACACTGGAGTTTTAACACCACTTTTAAGGAAGATGTGTTTTTGTTAGGATGATCTGGGCTTTCTGTGGGAGGTGGTTCCAGAGCTGAATAGCCTCCACTAAATAATACCAGCCCTCAGCGTTCTCATGTCAAGGCAAACTGTGCTGTTCCAAAAGCAAAAGACAAGGCAGGTAGCACAACAGGTGAGACCTGACCATTTAAACCTGAACAACAGTTAGGTAATTAAAAAATACCCACCCTAGAGGTATCTGTAGGTGAAAGAAGAAAATGTCATGCCAAAAATCCCACTTTTGTTTAATGGCACACACTGAAGTGCCATTAATATTGGGTACAGAAGGACTGAAGACTATAAAACGGTTACAACTTCCAGTTACACTCCACAGGGCTCCTCCATAAGGATACAGTCTTTTGCTTAGAAATCTGACTGCCCAATCCACTGACTTTACATATATCATCCAAAAAAAATACAAATGTTGAGTATGTCTCTCACTGTTTTAGCTTTAATTTTGGACATGAGGACATTCCTTGGGTACTGTATTACAGAAATATGCAGTACAAAGTGAGAAAGAAGGGTATTAAAAACAATTAACAGGCCACTTTATTGTAAGAGCGAGGTTACTCAAATGTTAGAAAGGACAAGAGCGCACCTCTCTTTAATTGCAGACGAAATCTTAAAGGAATATAGCAATTACCCAAGAATTTCCATTTAAAACCTCCTTAAACTAATGACAGACCGTGAGATGTGCAGCTCTACTGCATTGTAACTATGTGGAAAATAGCTTTTAGGAGATTATTACCTGGAATATACTGGCTCCATAAGGTGTCCTCCAGGCATTAAGAAGATTATCCTTTCCAGTGCTTACAAACCATTTGCCTGCAACAGATTGTTTAAATGTTATTGTTGCATTTTGTTTTCAAGGAATGCAACTCAGGAAACAGATTAATCATAAAAACCAATGCATTCACACATATCCAAAGGACAGTCACATATTTGTCTGGTTGCACTATAATATTCAATCACAATATAAGCAGTTCACACAACAAAGCAGTCACACAGAATTTTTAAAATCATTTTAATACTTAAAGATCTAACTTTTAATTATAGCCTTACTTTCATTTAAAGGTAATCTTGAATGAATTTCTCAGGAGGGGAAACACTGTCATAGAAAGATTTGCTTACCACAGTGAGCAAATTTGAGTGACAACACGCAACTCTCATGAAGATGCAGCTGATACTTGTCTGGCTTAGTAACATGCAGCACCTCAACATTACTGTTCTCCATTCCTACTGCCAACCACTCACCAGTGGGACAATAGCCCAGTGAGAAGATCTGGAATAAGCACAGCACATGCTTCAATAAATAGAGGAATGAGTTTCAGGTATCAAAACGAATTCTGATTACACTATTAGCACTGAACAAAATCATACTTTGGTCTACTATGGTTTTAAAAACATGATAATCCAATTACTATGATAATCAGGATAAATTAGTTTATGTAAAAGAAGCTCAATTAAAACTGTAACAGTAACACACTGAATTAAGCTATCAAAGTTAACGTCCTAGCCTGACAGCATCAAAAAATATTTTTGTAAAATATTTTTGAACAAGAACATAGAGAAATGGGAACACACTGCACACAGGAACACTTTAATCTGGCAATTCTTTCATAAAAAGATTCCCCACTACTCTCACTGGAGAAGAACTAATCTGTCAAATAGCCACAAACCAGAAAGATGTTTAGCTGCCACACTGAAATAAAAGAAAAAGTGTGAGAGTAAGTGAAAAATTCTCTGGAGTTCTCTTTGAGCCTGTTTTTTCTGAAAAAAAAAAAAAAACAAAAAACAAAAAACCCCAAAATAAAATAAAATAAAATGATAAAACTCAAAAGTGCTTGTTTTAGAAAACCATGACAGATTTTTCTTAACATTCCAAAGCTTCTAAGATTGAACCTGTGATGTGAAGTCATGTTGCTGTAACTGTCTTCCTTCTCTGAGATCCCAGGATCTGACTGTATTGTCCAAGCCCCCTGTCCACAATTTGGTGCCATCATTAGAAATGTCAATACAGCTCGCTCCATCTGTGTGGCCCTGAAATTGCCTGAAAACATTGAAATAAGACACACACATTCTCACACTGCAAAGAGTCAGTTCTGCTCATGTATACAAAATATCTCCTTTTTTCTTCAGTCCCTGACACACAGCCATTAAAGACAACAGCAACAGTAGATTCCAATAGCAATCTGAGATTAATAAAACTCTTGGATGATCATGTGAGTTTTGTGATGAATTGATGATGCAATCAGGCCAGACAGCCAAGTACTAATTTGATTCTGAAAAGCATGCTTTACAAGTCAGATGCTCTAGGGATCTTTGCTGCTGAATGTGCAATACCCACTATTTGACTGAAAATACCCCACTCCCCTCAAAGGAATGCAGCATGATCACCAAAATTAACTGAGTTTAAGAAGAATTCTTAGGCCACCAACAAAGCTGTAAAAAAAAAGAGCATGGGTATAAATGGGTATAAATATATCAGGGAGTAAAAGTCTGCTTTTATATGCAGTACTGATATATTACATAAAACAATATACATATTGCAGCGTACAGTGAAGCTTTGTATGACTGGCTCCTAGCTTACTGTACCTTTGTGTTAAGCAGCAACCCATGCTCCTAAGATACTAAGTTTGCAACGCAGTAATTTACATACATCTTTACCCAAGACACATTTGCTGAAGAACCGATTAAAGAGATTGGAGTGTGAGCACAGTGTATTGCATGGAGACAAAGAAAACCATCTGTTCCGAGAACATACAGCAGTGTCAACACCAGATGATCTTAGGAAATTACAGTTATGGGCTGCTCAACAGGCCTGGAATTACGAAACTCTCAAAACCTATAAAAAACTATATAGACTTTTGTCAAGGTACTACCATGGCTATTGCCTAGCAATGGAATACTGGAAGCAGCTATGCAGACACCATGAAGAAAATAGCATACATATGCAGAAAAGCACATAAAGCCGTGTCTAATTAATTCTTCACTACCTGATGATCCAGTTCTGTCGACCCACCTTACTAAAGTCTGGTTATGTAGATCCCACACTGCAATGTTCCCATCGCTACAGCAAGAGAAGCAGACCTTGGAATCAGGGCTGATAGCTAGGGCATAACAAGCCGGGGCAGACGATGTCAGCTCTGCTTTGATACGAGGCGTTGGAGCTGCCAGATCCCAAATGGATAATGTGCTGGCTTCTCCACCAACAATCAGGGTGCGGCCGTCGGGGAGCAATCTGCAGGAACGGATGTAGTTATCTCTGTTCTGTGGAGACAGAAGCCATCAAGAGATTACTCATGAGGAAAGGAAAACAGCATTAACATGAGAGCAGAAATCCATAAAAGTATTGTATTCCCTCCTGGTTTTAATGAGCCATTTATACTTATGACAATGATAAACTGTATTAATGCAAGAAAATTACATGACATTAGGGAAGTACTTAAACTTGATCTACAAAATTCAGCAGTGAAAGATATTTAATCTTAATTAGCATCAAAATACAAAGACCTGAACTCAGTCCAAAACAATTCAAGATAGCTGTATTTGACAGCTTGTGTAGAAAGTTGTATTTTCATACTCTGTTTATTTCAGCACATTAACCTCTCAGCATGGGGGAGTACCAAATTCCCTGCACACTCCCCCACTCTGTTCCGGTGAGACTTGCTGCCACCATCTAGATGTCAGAGGAAAATATCTGGGCAATTTTCTTCATTTGTGTAGCAACTTGTGTAGCAATTCATTGTATGTCTACAGGTGCTGCACAGTTTTAATTTGCTGCTCTGTCTTTGATCTTTCCCCCTACCAATTCGCTTTTAAGACATTAAAGATGTTTTGATTTGCTGAGGGTGGGGGGAAACCCAGAAGTAAGACAAGGAACATATTTCAAACTTGGTTCTAAAAGAAAAAAAAATAATTACAAATGAAATACCAAGCTTTGATATCACTAAGAGTACTCAAGTAGCCAATGTTTTTTGCACCTTAACAGTAGCAAACACAACCTGCTATATTCTCCCACTGTCATATGCTGTTGTTCACCTACCAGGCAGTCCAGCTGGGAGACAGGGCTCTTGTTCCCAGGGTGGCTGATGTCCCAGACTTTGACGCACCCTTTCCCACCTGTATAAACATGTCTCGTGGGGTTGCTGATGGTAACTGCACACACAACTTCCCCATGGTTCAGAGTGTTGATCTGACGGGCATGGCGGGGGATTCCTGGACCAATGAGGGCATCAGGAGGGAAAGGAACTGGCTGCATCTGACCATCTGCACTTACATGAAATGAGTATGCTCTGAAGGCAGAAGAAAGATAGGGGGTGATTTAAGAAGTTTTCCTTCAAGCCTCTTTAAGAAAACAGAATTAAAGGTGTATTTCCCCTGCAGGCATTCAGATTGTGCACTCGGCTCCTTTTGCAGTCTTTTTAAGAATGTGAATAAGAAATAATTCATTTATCTATAACAGGACCATAAAAGTATGAACTCGGGTACTCTTCTTTTAATGTGGAAAGTCAAGTACCATCTACCAATCAAATGAACTTTAAGAACTCATGCAATGATGATTTCAGGCATGCATGAGGATACACGATGCTACTCTTAAACTTAGGGCATGCATTTCAGGGAAGGAAGGTCAGGTCAGGGCCCCCTGGAAGACAGAAATAGTTGGCCGGCCACTGCAGAACAATGCAGACAGCAGAGTGCCAGGGATCATTTGGTTTCTCCATTACAGACTAATGTGCACACTTGCAGCTGTGTGTGCTGCCAAGGTGGCCCAAACTCATGCATGTCCCACGCTCCTCAAGCCAAACTGCCCGGCACTGGACCTAAGGGTGCAGTGAAACCTCCACTATCAAGGAGTTAAGTCCTCAAGGCACAGTTGCTGACATCTGACGTGACAAACCAGGAAAAATGCACTGGATTTTTTTCCCACTTTAGAGCTTGATGACTTTTCTTTCTTTTTTTTTCCCCATATATATATATATATAAAAAAATAATTTTTTTTGTGTGTGTTCATGTGTACCTAATATAATAGCTACAAATCCCTGTTTCTCTTGCCAGAACTAGGGCTCTTACTGAGAAAGAATGTGTTGTGTGACTGCCAGTTATGCCGCCTGTGAATAACCTATCAACAGCTTCATCTCAAAATATTTTCTAGGGAGAACAGTTAGGTTATGAAATTGTCTTATATTGAGATGCTACCTGACACATCACATCTATTACAAGAGCACAAACTTCATAAGAGGGTTCACCTACACATATCAAGGTATGATTAACAGAAGGCTTTAATTTCCTTAGACCTAAAATATCATCATAGTACTAATGAAAAATCCATTATCACAATGGTGCAATGAGAAAAGCTCACAAAAAAAGAAAATAATTTTAAGAGAATACTTAGGTATTCACTTCCCTAATTGTTACTTCTAAGTCACTGAAGAAAGCAGTATTTAGTATTCAGCTACTGAATTTGTTTTTAAGATTCATTAACACTAGAACAGTAATTTCCAGTGGGACAAAAGGCAACTGCATTTCCACCTTTCTGCCCTATTCCTAGACCTTTACACACTCTTCTCATCCTCCACTCTGTTTCTTGTTCTGGCAGGTCTGAGTGACAGATTGTATAACCATTGTCCATTTTCTGGCATTAAACACATTCAGGAAAGGGTAGGACATTTCTGTGGCTGTCAGAAGCAGCAAACCGCCTCTATGAGTAGAATTAATGTTCAATTATCACCACAGAAATCTGAAGTATCTTCTTCATTATCTCCCTAATTCCTGCTTGCTGCAGTAAGGAACTGAAAAAAAGCATCTGATGGTCTCCTGAAATCTCTAACAAAACAAGTGGAACTTCATTATCATCTTTTCTGATTTCTGTATGCAGTCATTCTCTGCAGAGCCATGTTGAGCACTCAGTGTATGGTACTTTTATTAGCTAAAGTGATTTTTAGCATGCTTATAGAGTACACAGGGAACATGTTTAACAATTACAGAAACAAAGCATAGATCTGAAGTGATCTGTGATGAAATTATTATCATTCTATTCATTACACCATACCAGCACATATGATTAAACTGCTGCTACTTTAAATTATTAAATTAAACTAACACCTTATGTTGCTTATTTGAAGTCCTCTAAATATCTGATACTATGAACACCTGGCAGGCACTTTCTTCCTCTTTTCATGTTAGATACCTTTTCTATTTATATATTGTACAATTCTTATGTTTCACTATATCTCTAAAGTGAAAAGAGCATTATGAGGGGCCAAGATTCTTGATGTGCCACACGCTGCCTGCTGCATTTTAACAGACACTCAATGGCGTGGAGAATTTACACAACTTCTGCTCTAAGGGAAAAGAAAGAATAAATGAGAAAGCAAAAACCCTGGACGATAGCTGTGAAAAGCACTGCACTTAAGATGAAGAAAAATTAATGCAATTATGCTAAAATGACCACAGATGTCAAAGGTTTCAGGCCTATGGCAGAGAAATGGCAGTTACAGTTAAATCTTTAAAGCAGTCATCAATACATAAACAACATTCAAAAACCTTGGAGATACACCAGAATTGAACTGGTTTTACTTCAGTTTGTCTGATGTTTTATTCTCCCTCTCCATAACACAAGTGAGATGGGAGCAGGGAGATCTCCGCACCCTGGTATTGCTGTTTCTCAGACCACTGCTAAGTCTGGTGGAACTGGACACCTTTCCTCTTGGGCAACCGACACCACCAAGGATGAATGAACTTGAACCCAGCAAACATTCTATGAGCCTGCTGCATGTACAGGATGAAGGTCTGTGCCCCACAGGATTTTTAATGCAAGCAGCTCATCTGGACATTGCTGTACAGGGATTTCTGTACTTGCTTTATGCAGCCACCTAAAGGGCATGGTAACTAGCAGAAAAGTTAACTTGGGGTGGTGACCAGAGTGTGCTGTGCAAGAAAGCTGGACATGGTTTAAGATTTGTGTGATACATTGTCCTGGGTTCAGCAGCAGCAGTCATTTTTTCTCCTTCTTAAACCACGACACATATGTACAAGAGGAGCTACAGGTGCTAGGACTGACTGCTTGTCACCACAGTATATTATTAACCTTGAGCATCTGCAAGCTCATTGACAGGTAAGTATATGCATTTACTCGCATGCAAGCATGTGACTACCCCCAGCCAGTCCTCCACAATCATATCCATACATACAAAAACGAAAGGAGTGGCATAAACATCTCCTGCCCTTGAAACTCTTAAACTCTTATCCAGTATTAACTGGTCACAGTTTCCCAGAAGTGTCAAACTGGAGGACCCTTACATAAAATCTGTATCAATATGGTTTGCATAGCTGTTTTATTTTTTCCCTTCTCTAATTCAAGAGAGATGTGAGCACAGAGTTTTTCCTACCTGTACAATTTTTTTCTGAGGCTTACAACAAACGGTGCCTGGTAGAGCAGGTCACTCTACGGTCAGCTCCATCAAGGATGAATCTGAACATTATGATACAATAATTCTTTTCAGTACTTCCAATCCACAAAACATTAGCGTGTTCCTTTCTCTGCATACTGCTGCTTATAGCAGCTGGTAAGTTTGCAAGTAACTTGCAAGGATTTTGTAAACACAGAAATCATTTTTTTAAACTGAGCAGCACAATACAGTAGAGATGGAAAGCTGAGATCGTGTTCCAGTTCTAGTTTGCATTTCCACACAACACAAACCAGTCAGATTCAGCATATAACATCTCGAAGTTCAGCTTTTTCTTCTTTCATTTATTTCTGTCTCTTTTACTCTGTATCACCCAGTTCTTGTCAACTGCTATTAATCTCCAAAGCAAATTTACAAATGCAACTTTAAGATTAAATAGTGTTTCTCCTGTCCTTGCCAAACAGCTAGATTTATTTCTATTCACACAACAGTTTTCAGTACCTAAGGGGAATTCCAACTGGCAAGGGAACACAACTTCAACAGATGACTGACTTTTGAAGTTGTATGCTTGATACTCACGGTTTTCCTCCTGGGATGCCTGTGAGATTGGGAGGAATGCCTGGGACTCGCATGTGATGATGTGGATCAAAACCAACCTATAGTTGTCCCCATGTAAAACAAAAAAGGTGTATTAAAGACAGAGCTTGCCAAAAGAAGACTTTAATTCATATTCTCCATAGCACACTCCCCGAATTACAGAGACTGAACTAGATTTAACTCCCAAAATTACAGAGACTGAACTAGATTTAACTCTGCAAGTCTTACATTTACTATAAGCTGCTCTCAACACAAAATGCACTAGCATCAAACACTTACCACTGGAGATCTCCCATAAGCTGCTGCTGCTGCTGCTGCAGCTGCTGCACTCATTTGAGGGGAAATATTGTGCAGACCGGCGTAGGCAGCTCCAGGGCTGGTCAGCTCCCCATTCATACCAGCATGTGGCACAATCCCAAATGGAGTAGGATAAGGACATGGCACTGCCATAGGTGTCCTTAAACCTGAAGCTATTGAGAAGGAAAGGAAGAGAGAAGTCATACAGCCAACCCAGACCCACAAAATGAAACACGAATTTGGTAAACGCACTGTATTGAAATGTTGAAGAACCAGCTCTGCATCCAGTTTAAGCAGCTTTAATATACTGTCCCATCACTGCAGGTTTAAATGCAGTGTAGTTACAGACAAATGGGCAGTGTTTCACACCATTGAAATATACAAAGACTAACCTAGTGGGTCCACACCTGGGGGTTTGCCAGGCACTGGCCTCAGTCCGGGAGTGGAGTTGCTGCCGGGAGTTGGGGCATCAGTCCGTGGAGTTGGGGTATTTGATTTAGACACAGGAGTGGTAGATTTCTCATTCTAATCACCAAAAAAAAAAAAAAAAAAGAAGAAGAATTTATTTTACTTTTTTAACTACCAGTTGGAAAGAGAAGTGAGGACAGCCAGAACGCATGTGATTAGAGGTATTTAGCTTTTGGGTTTGGGTTTCAACAGTCCCTGCCAATGAAGAGAAGCTGCAGAGACACTGAAAATAATGGAATGGCTTTGAGAATTATCTACAGCCTTCACAGCTTTCCTCGTTGGGAGCACCTGTATCACCCAGAATGAGGTCAGTGACTTCAGAATCATTGCTGACAATTACACTGGCAGCATATGCGAAATCTGTCAGTGGTCTCACTCTGCTCATAGTGGATCTGCTCCCAGCACAAGTTTCTGTGAGAGGCCACTGCCGGATGGACAAGAAGAGCAGACCCCCACATACAACTGGCCAACAACTCATGCCCAAACATGGTGCTGGAAACACAGGACGGAGACAGTGATGGGTATAAAGTCAGGAACTATGCAGTGCCACTCTTCTGACAAGCTTGTTCATCAGGCAAACCACTAACTCCTGGGCCTGAACCTGTCATTCTGTCACCTTTTCTGAGCACTACATTCACGTTAAGCTTTCTTTTTATTTATTTTATTCCTTTAAATAATCATGTATTCTGACCTGTGAAGAACAGAGAGGGAGTCTCTTTGCAGCTCAGGAAGATGATTAACTGTGGTCACAAAAAGGAAAGGAAAGAACACCTCTGACTTGCAATCAGCTCTTTTTTTTTTCTTCATTGTGATTTGAGATGCAAGTCAAGGAAGGCTCTTGTAAATAACAGATTACTTTTTAGATAGAAAATAAAAATTATTGTTGTTGTATATGGTCTGGTAATTCAAACAAAGCTAACAACCAAATCACATCCAAGCAGGGAACTGAATTTGCTATAAAACACAGCACAGGAAAACAGCTCAAGAAGCCCCTGTGTATTTTTATTTATTCTCAGAAGGACGGTATTTCATATGGGGGAGGAGAAAAACATCTCTCAGTACAGCACATCTATCATCTACCTATACCGCCAGTGAAAATAACCTCTTCCTATCCCAACAAAAAAAGCTGCGGACTTTCTTCTCTGTTACTAAATTTCAGTGAAGACACAAATAAAACAGATTTTAAATTGATGATTCATAGTGCTTTACTGTTAGCTGTGGAAATTCAAATTGCGTCCAGTCAGAAATTCGGTAAATGTGTTTTGGTATCTGATCATGGGTCTGGAGCATCCTGAAGCACTTACAAGGCTAAGTTCTTTGGATTTGGAGGAAGGAGTACTGCTGGAGGATGCAATAGACGCCGGACTAATTGGTGCATCTTTCTTCAGCAGTCGAGTCTTGTCCAAGCCATTCTCCCGTGGAGAGTGTGCTGGGCTCCCCCGAGGAGAGGAAGGATCCTAAACATCAGCAATGTGGGTTAGTATAAAAACTTCATACTAGCCACTAATGCTTGTCTTGAATAATTTTTACTTTGTCATCACTGTGTCATAAAAACTTGACATCTTCTTTCCATTCTTAATTGATTTAACTGATAAAATTGTGAAATCGAGATGGATAATAACAATCAACTTTTCTTACATTTTCTTTTTTTTTTGTTTGAAAGAGTCTGAAAATTTGATGCCACTAACCATGAAGAACACTGCCCAATCTATGGATATTGAAATTGTCAAGTAAATGTTACTTGTCGGGTTACAGACTGAAAGGGTTTGAGGCACTTGGCAGATCTGATAAAGTTCACAAATGAAGTCACGGCCAGAGTGAAAGAAAACACAGATACCCTTACAACCTGCCTAGTACCTGCTGTGCTGTGCTGGCTTCAAATATCTCAAGCAGATTTTTGGTTCATACAAGTAACTAAAAGGTCCTTTGTAGAAATAAGTGTTACAGATCTGATTTGCATTCTAAGGAAAGATGACCTGACTGAACTCCCTCAGGCATCTGAAGCTCCTGTAGGAGGAGTAAAGGCTGTAATCTTACTCATATAACCCATATGCACAGAAACCACTGGACACCCCTACCACTAACACAGTAAGGTAGAAAAAATACCATTGTGCATACCTCATTGGAAACATCAACAACCAAGTTGTCATCACTCTTTTCACCATCGCTGTCCTGCAAGACAAATCAATGTGTCATAAATATTTATTTAATGTCCTAACATTTTTCAAGTACTAAGAAAAAATAAACCAGTGTAATGCAAGGCTGCTCACAACTATGCAACACAGCATTTTTTTTTACCAAGCCTTATGTGGTAATACAATTATAATATTTAAGTCACCTACAGTGCTTCTGCTAAACAGGTAGCCACAGGTTATTCCCAGTTTTCACAATGGTAAACTAGGACATAGGATTAAAATCCTCATCCTAAATTGCACTGCACTGAGAACCAGACCCAAGCTACAGTCCAGATACACTAAGTCCCAGCCTAACTAATGCTCAGTCCTCTTGTTGCATGCCTTCCATGTACTCTGTATTTGTATTATTAAAAACACTATCAATCCTACATACTGAAACCTTCAATATAGCACAGACGTGAAGAGGGAGGCAGTAAGAACCTGCTAAAAATTTGATGCTTCTTTTTAAAAGTAGTTATGCAGCAGGAATCAGGTGAAATTACAGAGGAAATTACAGAAATTACTTAATTTCGACAATGCACAATGTAGGTAATTTACTCACATAACGAGCTGCTATTTCCTTCTCTTCTGTTTTCTGTTTTTTACTATCTGTAGAATAATCTGTTGAATTTCTGTGCTTTTCTGCTGTTCTGAAACTGGCTGAGGGAGATACCGAAGAGCTCTGCAGTCACGAAAGAGAGGAAGAAAACACCATCGGATGCTTGCTCAGAACAGTGGTTCATTTGTCACTATTCCTCCATACAACTTAACCTGATAATATGATTTGGAGTTGTTCTCACAGATAGCAGTTTGGGTTTTAATCAAGTGATAGCTACACAGCAAGTGTCTTGTATTAAAGTGCACAATGCAGTGCAAGAAACAGATAAAGGCGATCAGCCGATGGATCATAGTTGCTATCTGCTGGTGTTAACGGGATGAATGTAGAGCTACTTTGGACCATTTTATGAATAGTGTACACTGACCTGGTTTTAGCTTGTTTCTTCTACAAATATGCAGAGCTAAATCAATACTCCCAGAAGAGGCTGGGTGTGTACGTGTGTACGTTTGCCAGTTTGCCAGTGTAAATCAAAAAGAACAAAGTGGCTCCAGGTAAGTCAGACTTTAGCAAACATCTGAAGAAAGATTTTTAGCAAAGAAAGAAGCAAGCTTCTTTCTAAACAGTCTCAAAGCAGGAAAGAAAAAGGGAAACACCTAATCTCATTTTATTTTGGTGCCTTTTACAATTACAGGCTGTGCCTGCAGTAGATGGAAACACAACGCAGGGGCTCAGCTGAGTCTGGCTATTCTGCAGCCCTCACTTAGTAATCATCATTAAAGAGCTCATGCACAGTACGGGAGAGAAACAGATGTATTACAAAGTTCTATACGCTGTCATCCAACAATTCTGTTTTACTCCCTTAAACAAGGCAGGCAATACTTATCAACTCCTATCATATTTCCAGATTTTGGTGGAGTCTGTACCTTGGTATACAATGAAGACAGTAACGAAAGATGCAAAGTTCCCTCTGGGATTGATTTTAGCAGCAGCAGCAGCTTTTGGCCCTCATTCAAGAGAGCATTTAAGCATGCACTAAACATTCTCTCACGCTGAAGTCAATGTCTGAATGTATGTAAGGATGGGTTCAGGTGTTTTCCAGAATTGGAACTGACAGAAATGAAGAGGAAAGTAATCCTCAGTTGAAACCCTGCAGTTTCCATCTCTCTACCTCCTTATATAAGGGTGTGGGAGGAACAACCACCAAAAAAGTCCTTACTGACAGAATTTAGATCTCCCATTCATCCAGAGCATTGAGTTTGGAGTTTTTCCTCCATGCACTACAGAGAGCTATTATTCTGCATAAAACTGTACAACACAGCAAATTGGTTTTGGGGCTTTCAGTGCACACCTCCCTAGGTTTATTTTATAGCTATTACCAGGAGTGCAAACCAAGAAATTAGCATTTACATTGTGCAGCTTCTGTTCCATCGCTATTATCAAAGTTGTTCTTTTCCTTATTACACCACAAACTTCTGGAAAGCATTAAGAACACTGAACCACACAAAGTAAGCTGTGGTTGTTGCCCAAATCATGTGAGAGAACATTTCTCCCAGCTCGGGCACTCAAATCCTCCTCTGCACTTCTCCAAAATTTCCAAGTCCTGTGAACAGCAGCTCAGATTTATGAGTGTGGAATTTGCAAAAACCTTCCATCTTCTTGAGTGGTAGTTGTTAATTACCCTCTGAGACCACTGAGTGGAAATAAAAATTTTACAACAAAGCTAGTGCTGAACACAGCCTGTGCCTTTCCCATTTGTCTGCTGGCTTGCCTGTCTCTTTCTCTCTCTCTGACAGTATAAAATAGGTAGACAAGGATTTCCCATCCTCACCAAATAGATCTTAAAATGCATTCACTGATTCAGCTTTAAAGCAGATCATTAATCAACAATTATAGTAAATGACACAAACTAACAATGTTATTTTTTGCTCTGAAGAGACAACACATGTTAAGACATTAGAAGAGGGTAGTGGCAGTAGGCACAGAAGTCTTAAGTAGAAATACGACATTAAATGAACTGATGGCTTGAAAAATATATGTTTACTGCAACAATGTAGCATAGTATTTTGCAAAATATTTAAATAGTATGCTCCTATTTATGTTAATTTATAATTTGGAAGGCAGTAGCTTGTAATATGAATTCAATTCATTATTTCTCAACTTCACCCTGCAGAAAGTAATTTGCTTTAAAATTAAGAAAAATAATCACCAGTAAGCTACAAATTAGAGTTGTGTCTAAAGAATTAAACTACTGCACTTATTTAAATAGAAATATTTATTTTCATAAATTTGAAACCATATAGTTTCATATTTCACAATCTAGTTAGCTAAGTGCTATAGATACCATTTTAATCTTTGATTTCACTGCTTAATAAAGTAATAAGTTAAAGCTCCCTACTAGAATGATAAAGTAGTTAATTATCACTAGTGTATACAGGATGAGTATCATGTTGAGGAAATGCACACTGCTTAATGGTTTTATTGCTTCAAAGATGGATCAGACCTGATACCTATATGGAAAGATCTTGCTGTGGTATCTCACCTGGTATTAGCAGAAAAATGGAGACACTCGTCTACTGGCAGCAGTCAGAATCTCTTTTCCCAAACCGGAATTTGGCCAGTGTATTAGGACTAACATTATTCTGCCTCAAGAGCCAATTACTACAGAACAAATCTAAACATTCTCACTTTTAACTGTCCTACCCCTCTCCTTGCATGGAGCCAGTCGATCAATATGCCTGCAGTAATAGCTGCTTTTCCCTTCAACACGTGTATGTACCTGCCACATAAGGATCTTTGACTTCATGGAATTTCTGGCACTGATGCCAACAGATGAAATTTATTTGCTGAGTAATAAAGATATGTCATGTACATAGCCAATGAGCTATTGTCTAGATCTTCCTGTGGACCTAACACCTACCAGTTTCAAGGGACAATATTATTACCCATACTGGATTCCCACTATTGTTTGCAATACCTTATCAGCCTATAAACACTTGTAAAGATCTACCTTCAGTGAGAAATACCAGGATGTAACAACGTCCTCATGGTTTCCACTGACATCAGATTCCTTACATATAATCCTGTGCCCACCCACACTTTGATTCCTGAATGTGCAAGTCTACATACTCCAACAGAGGTCCTTACATTTGCAGATTGCTGAAGAAAACCTCCATTGAAACAGATTGTTTAGTTGTCAGACTCTGTGCTGTTCCTTGATTTAAACATTGGTGCCCTCCTAACAGCTGCCTTTGAAAAGCTGCAATAGGATAGTTACTTAAAGGAACCAAATCATTCAGCATTATGACTTGGCAGGCTGTAACTTAATGGGCCAGAGTCCTCATTTTAGTAACTATTAAAATTTATAGAGAAATAAAGTCTTTTCACACTGCTGTTTTCTTCAATAAAATGCATTAATCTACTAGAGAGTAGCATTTTCCTACTAACCACCACTTGAGTTTGCTCACATACAAGAATTAGACACAGGAAAGTAGGTTACGTTTAATTTCTGTTTTAGTGAAACGTACTACTTTTTCATATTCTGCTTAGGTAGAACATTTTTATTCATGTTAAATACACTGCAAAATGCTGACAAAAACAACTGAACACACATTTACAGAAAGCCTGAGCATACTCCCTTGTTCACAGAATCTGCTTAAGAAGTGGAACAGTGTGTTTCTAGTGATGGACCAACAGTATCTTTTGCACTAGGCTGCAAAGCATGGCATGATATACTTCAGTCTCTGTTTTGGGCAATGCTGAGCAGAGTGTGAACTGAAAAGGTCTCCCACCACAAGGACTACTCTGCTTTCCCTCCAACATTGGGAGGGTGCTGCACCAGGTGGAGTACCAGTGCCACAAAGGCACAAATCAAATAAACAGAGGGACATACAAGCCTTTTACGCAGCCCTAAAATCCTCACCAGTAACATTTTGCATAATTAATGCTTCAAATTGCTAAGATTAAAAAAAAAAAAATTCAACATTTTACCCCCAGCTTCCACTGGAAGTTATCTGCATTAACAGAGATGACTCACGTTGTAACATGGCAGAAAAGGAGTCAATATGGTCAGGCTGCCATCCAACTGCTCTCTAACCCTGCAAACCCCAAATCCCCATATGCTGCCTCCTGCAGATGAAGACCTGGCCTAACCATACTAAACGATAATACGTGTTAATAGTAATGACTAGAAATGACAAGATGAAAAGCCCTCCCACATGATAAAGCTGGTAACTCTGCAGCATTCACGAACATGACTGTTCCCAAGTGTACGTACCCTCACTATTATGCCAAATGATGTATTTGGAGTGTCATAATTAAAACAATAATTCACAACAAAGTGGGAATTATGAGATAATTGACCGTCCTGAAGTATTAAGCAAACTGCAGTAAAAGCCAAGGATGCTCAACAGTAAGGTCAATTATGGTATAATTATCTGAATGACATTACTGCCGTTATAAAGTCTGTTGAAAGTATAAAAGAAACTACAAAAATGTATACAATATGCATTGCTGGGAAACGATCAGGCAGTAATGCTGCTTGGTTGGCTGGTGCCAATGTTATAGATGGACGTTCGAGCACCACAGCTTGGACTCAGGCATGGCTCCAAAAAATGCAAGAAATGAGTGCTATGACTTCTGACACACCAGGGATGAGACAGAGAACACCCTCTGGTGAGTAACATGTGGTATGATGTAGGAGAACCAAGCAGAGAGGTGACAGGACAGAGCATAAGAAACACCCAGGAGACAGGAAGGGGCAGTCCAGAACAGCCCTCTGAGACCATGTGCCCAGAGAGAAAAACCGTAACCAAAAGCTCCGCACAGCAAACCTTCTGCAGGACTCTTAACTACAAGGCAATATCTATCTGTCAAAAAAAAATCCCACCATTCATTTACATATACCCGTGGGCACAGGTACATTAGTTTTATTAAACTGATGGAGACAGTGTGAAAGGCTGTGGGCTCCTCTAAAAACACCATATGGAGTGTTTACATAGTGTTTGTGCTCCTGAGGTCACCCACACGTACACTGCTACTATGCCTTCTTGTTGTTATTACTACATTACTATTATTGCTATTACTACATCCCAGTATCCACTCCAGCCTCACAGATTTTGCGTTCT